ACTTAGAAAACGATGAAATCAGAATTTGGTGTTGTGTGCACATGTATGGATCACATTAAACCACAAAGCACTGATATGCCTGTTTGCCACTGCTTCTGCAATGAAGGTGAGTTATTCTCATCTAGAGTCTAATGCTACCTTTGATTCCTGTGATTTCTGAAATTATCCTGGTGCTTTTCCAAGGGCTTCCTTTTACTGTCTATTTATAGTGATCTCATCCAGTCCTAAGATTTCAAATGGATATCATAATTTTATGTCTCCAGCTCTTCTAGGTCCAAATTCATAATCAAGCCCTTCCTTAATATCTCCTATATCTATAATGTACCAGAGCATTGGCATTTATTTAAAAAGGAACAGAAGCTGAGGCTGGAGATATGTAAAGTGTGTGTTAGATTAAGAACAGTGGGTTTTATTCTTGGGATATTAGTAGATTAGTAAACGGGCAGTGTTTCATTTGGAATATTTCATCAATTACTGAATGTTGGTCCTTATTACCCTTTAATTGCCATAAGTATTGAGCATCTTTCATGAAGAAACAGCTCTTAGATTGAGCACTGAAAAGACTGTAAGACACATTTCTAATATTTCTAATTGTAATAAAGCAAGAAAAAGAATGATAAATTGCACTTGATTTATGCAGAAGTGATGAAGTGGACTATCACTATTGGAAAACTTGAAGTAATATAGCTGATGGTGGACAAGTTGTCAAGAGAAATGGATTGAAAAAATATTGTGTCATCAAATAAATGACAAATAAGGGAAGGGCATGTGGTTCTAATGTGTCCTCAGGAGACTTCATGAATTATAAAGGCTCAATGTCAAGGACCACAGTAAAAACTTTTGTCCCTTATTCATTTGGAGAGATTAGAAAAAAAAGGCTTCAAAATTATTACTGAAAGACTAAAGGATTATCCACAGATAAAAAGACACTTCAAGTGAAGGGTAAGGTACTGCCCACATGTGAAGAAGAGACTAGGAGAATTTGATTTTAACAAAGCAAAGGAGAGCAGGAAGAGCAAGCCAGCATGAATGGGAGACCGACTGTAATAATATATTAGGTTAAGAGCTGCTGAGTCATCTGTTATCTGGCAGGTAAATAAGAAAGCATGCATTAGATGCCAAGATACAAGGACAGAATTGAGAATGTGACTGTAGTTAATAATAATGTATCTTAGAAAATTATTTAGAGAGTGGACTTTAAGTGTTCTAACCACAAAAAAAAAAGGGACAAGCCTGCAATGTGACATATACATCAATTAGCTTGATTTAATCTTCCCACAATGGACCAATAGAGCAGAACATCGAATTCTACACTGTAAATATCTATAGTTTTGTTGATTAAATCATTTAGAATTTTTAAATAAAATCTTGGAATCTCACCTGAAGAAAATCCTAATTTATAAGCAAGGCTGGAATCTCTCTTGCAGATATAGTCAATAAGTTTTTGGCTGGCACAGGACCCTTTTGGAATGACTGCATCGATCAAATCACGGGCTTTGTCTTTAGTTGTAGCATTTTTCTTTTTCACATTTTCAGCCTCCTCTTCGTTCACTACCTCTTCACTTAGTAGGTCATTCAGCAAAGTGTAAAGCGTATCCTCAGACACTGAGATAATAAATGTTTTCCTTTTCTCCTTTAGTCTCTTATCTGTTGGAAGCACAACAGTGTTGAAATTGATAGCCAGCTCAAGAAATACAACCGCCACCTCAATAACTAGGCTTCTTCTTTCTTCTTCTTTTTTTTTTTTCCTATATTTCCTCTATGTGGTTCAGCTATCCCAAGGGATGGTCTAATTAATGTATTTACGATCGCTGCCATTCCTTCTCAACCCATGGGCAGCCACTCATAGAAGTCTAACCCAGCACCCTCAAAAACAAGGCTCTACTTACCTGGTGGTTCTTCTGGTTCTACCTTAGTGAGTTGCCAGGAAAGGCCTAAGAAGCTCCAACTGTTGTATTTCTTTGATGAATATAAATATATCCAAGAAATCGGAGTCAATAATGGTCAGATTTATGTCATTTTCCCTTCTTTTATTTAGAAAGACTCATCCTTGGTGATTGCACTATGCAGATTCTGAACTTCAGTCATGTTTGGAACATGAGCATTCAGGGAAGATCCATAGCTCATTTCCTATAAGGCCGTTTATAAGAGCCTGACAGAATATAGCTCAGAGGAGGAGGGCTCCTTCTTTTCTCCTCTAACTAAAAATTGTTCACACAAACTATACAGTTTCTAGTAAATAAAAGTTGAAGTGCGTCAATATCAAATATCTTTCCTAATGCCCCAGAGTGATCAAAAGAAGTCTTACCAGCCATGTCCTCTGTAGCTGTCTTCTTAGGATAATAGGAGGAATCAAAAGGAGAACAAAGTACTAAAAAGAAACAGGATTTTCCTGTTGAGCAGAATATGACTATAATTTAGGGTGGAGCTACTGCATTGCTTATATGGATGTCCTCTGTGTGTGTGTGTGTGTGTGTGTGTGTGTGTGTGTGTGTGAGAGAGAGAGAGAGAGAGAGAGAGGGGCAGAATTAAACATTGACCTGGAAAACTACTAAGATAAATTAAGTCAACTCATCTACTATAAATCCCCAACTCCATGAGCCCCTCATCTCAGTCTTGGATACCTGGTTATCAGAGAGACTCTCAGCAGCACCTGCATAAGGGCTGACTACTCCCAGCCAACTCACAGAACTAAAACCTGTCTCCCACATTAGAAGAATCATTATTTCTTTCCACATTAGAAGAATCATATTTAATTGACTTTTTCAGTTGGTATTCAACAGGCTGTGCTATCATATGGCAGCCTGTGGAATGGTCTCTGCTCTTCTTCTTTACTACAATCACACATGTTCTGTCACCTGAGAAGAACTCTATGATGTCATTTGATCCCACGAGCAACTTTAACAAAAAGGTGCATACAAATCTTTTTAAAATATAATGTTTTCTCAGCTAAGCACCTGTAATCCCAGAGACTTGGGAGGCTGAGGCAGAGAATCACGAGTTCAAATCCAGCCTCAGCAACTTAACGAGTCACTGAGGAACTCAGTGAGATCCTGCCTCTAATAAAATATAAAAAAAAGGGGCTGAGGATGTGGCTCAGTGGTTAAGTGCCCCTGGGGTCAATCCCTGGTATGTATAAACAAACAAACAAACAAACAAACAAATTGTTTTCTCTTGTTCTTAGTCTATATTTTAGTGAAAATATGTCAAAATATTTGAAAAAAAAAACTGCAGGATGAGTCTTTGCACAATCCTGGTACCTGGCACCTCAGATGACTAGGGATGCCTACTGCAGTTTCCTCTATAGACAGAATCATTCCATGCCTCCAAAGGCCACTTGTAACTTGGGGTTAAGTACAACAATGTTCTCTCTGTTCTGAGCCACTTGTTTCTCTGTTGCCATGTGTCATATACCAAATTTCTAAGTTGATAAACTACAGGCTGATTGACTGCATTCAAATGCCATTAGTCTAGGAATTAGAGAATTACTGCATTTGGTACCAGTTTTACCACTTTCAATCTCCATGATCATGGACAAATAGTGTTCTTTCTAAGTCTCATTTTTCTCCCTAAAATTAGAGGGAATCATGTGTCACCAATGGAGGTGATTCTTATGAAGAACTTGTGAGATATTTTATACTTTAAATGATTTAGTATACAAAAATACAGGGACTAGAAAATTCACTCACAATTAAATATGTCTCAAATATGGTATGGGACCTTTTTCATCTAAATATTTGAGGCATATTTATGCTGGATGTATTTGTTGTTTAACTGAAATTTAAGTTTAATTGATGTCCTGTATCTTCTCGGGGAACATTATGGCATTTGGGCCAGATCAGTCTCTATGGTAGGAGGCATCCTCTGCATTCCAGGATTGTCAGCTTTTACCTACTAGAAGCTGGTAAAACTCTCCCGATTGTGGCAACAAAACATGTCTCCAGACTTTGCCAAATCTCTCTCACCTCATGATGAGCTTCTGTTGACTTTAAGTTACACATGAGAGTTTAAGGTCTCTGCTCTTTTGCTTACATGTTTTATCACCTTGGTAAAAGTTACTTAGCCTCAGCCACTTTAACTATGAAATGGGCATAACAATAATATGTTCTTATGTGGATTAAATTTCAAAACTATTTCCCAAACATTTATATATGCTATATACATGCACATTACAACTTTTTACTCATTTAATATATATGGTGTTCCTATGAAGTAGATAGTATTATTAAGACCATTGTATAGATGAAAAAACAAAGCTTAAGCATGTACCCCAAATCACACAGCAAGTAAGTGGCAGACTTGGAATTCAAACCCAGGTGGTCTGGCTACTGAATCTGGTTCATCATTATGCCAGGCTTTCCCTAAGAAACTGGGGGCAGAATTGATGGCAGGTGGTTCGGTTATGTATGTTGTATTGAGTATTAAGTATGTTGTATTGATTGTTAGATTAGTGTTATTATTTTATACAGCTCTGAATGTGGGAGTTGGGCTGTATGTTCTTTTGAACTTTTTAAACTCTGTTTACAAGTACTTTGGGAGTTAGAAGGCATGAGAGAAGAACTGCAGCTTCCTCCAGTGAATAATGAACCTGCATAATTGCCCAAAGGATGAGATGAATTTGAGGGAAAATTTAGAGTTTCTCATTCCCAGTCCAGGTCTCTTGTATCACATCCACCTCTTCTTCTAGCATTGTGCCCTATGAAGGCAAGGCAGTTAATATTGAGGGAGGGTCTGCTTTCATAGGTATATGATAAGTTAAAAGACAAAAGTATAAGCACAGGAAGAATATATGCCAATAAAAGAGACTAGAAAATTCACTAAATGGCAGTACAAACAATGCTATAATGGGATTTCAGAAAAAGATGGATTTATAAGTGTTCTGGGCTTTCAATGACTGTTGAATGTACAAATGAAAAAAGAAGGAGGAGGAGGAGGAGGAGGAGGAGGAGGAAGAGGAGGAGGAGCCAATGTCTTAGCTGGGCACAGAATCAGGAGCCACCACACAGCTTTGTAGATTCAAACAGCAATTCTTTATTCCCGAACTCACACCGGCCCTCACACACGTTCAGGGGAAATCTAAAATCTGCCCGCACAATTCACGTCCCAAATACTTTCTGAATTCCGCGAGAACTCAACAGGAACTCAGGCAGCAGGAATGCCCTATTCCCAGCAGCAATAACCTTAAACCTGGAACTTCCTTAAACCCAGATTATCTTAAACCGGGAATACCTTAAATTTGTCTTAAACCGGGAACGCCCTAAACCCAAGGAGCGGGATACTTCCTCAAACCTGCAGGATACACCTTAAACCTGGATTCACCCTCGTCCTTGAGCAGGGTCACCTTTCTCAAACACACATGCAAGGTCACAGCGGATTTCCAAGGCAAGTCCATTTAACATGGGGTACGCTGGCAAGGAAATTTCGATGCATCATTCCTACTTGGCAATGGCCCTCAGCAAGGAGGATCATCTATAATTAAAGAGAGCCTACTATGTACCAGACATTGTGGTGGATGCTTTACAAACAACAGGGCATTGTTCACACAGCATCCCCGTGAAAAAGATGTTAGTGCTAGATTTCCATTTTACAGATGGAAAACTGGCCTCTCTCACATTAAAACTTCTCACAGGAAGTCAGTAGTTAATACTAGGAAGAAATCAAATTTAAATTTCAATTTAAATTTAAATCAATTCAAAAGCCAAGCTATTTCACATGCAAATGCAAGGCAGGGAAGAGCATCCCATGCCTGCAGAACAGCATAAAATCGGAAGCATGCAAATCAGAATGCCATAAATGAAAACAAGGACAAGGAAATAGAGCTGTTTCTTTTAAGCAGACAATGCCTGTGATGCAGCAAAATAAAAACAAGATTATTGAGGTAAGTTGGTTCCTTTACAAAGCACTTATCACTAACTGATATTTTCAATTACTTATTTCCTCTCTGTATTTCTCTACTTTAAAATGAGTCCCCAAGAGTGTCCTTGTCCATCTCCTTTGCTTTTATACACCATATCACACACAGTAATGATTGCTGTGTTGAGAACAATTCAGTATACATTATAAAATGTGAATGTTAGAAAGGAAGAATAAATGTCAAACATAGCAAATTTGTGAATAAAAATGATTTAGACAAATATATTATAATTAGGGTAATCAGTTTAAAATTCAAAATTAAGCCATGCACACAATTGTAATCAGGGTAAATATGAATTAATTAATTTAATCATAATACATTTCCTCATTTATTTTCATTCATTATATATATATTGATAGCATGTCTAATAAACAGCAGGCATGAAAAAGAATCTAGGAATTCAAAACAAAAATACAGCATTGTTTTGTTCTTAAGGATTGTTGCTGGCTACTAAAGAATGCAGACATGTGAGTTAATAATTGAAGCACAATTGAGGTTTCATAATTGAAATCTGCACAGTGTAGGCAGGTAATGCTTGTAATTCATTGTTCCACTGCTAGATGAACAGGTTTGGCAATAGCTTTCATGGGAAATAAAAGGGCTATTTTGTTGGCTCATATTTTAATGTGGATTAGGACAATGAAATATAATCTTAGCCTGTATTCATCTAAACTCACTCAAAAATATTTCTTTTGACCCTATTAAATATCATACTTTGTGCTCAATGAGAATGAAATAAATTAATTAGTACATAGAGTCCGGACTTCATAAAGCTTATTTGCTATTAGGAAAGAGACAGTAAGTCTATAGGCCAATAAATAAAATAATTGTTAATTAGAGTATCTACCATGAAGGGAGCACATGTAGGAGATGGATTAATTTCCTATTGCTTTTCCAACAAATTACCACAATTCAATTGCTGATCACCATGCAAATTTAATGTCTTCCATTTCTGGAGGTCATAGTCTAAAGTGGGTTTCATGGAGCTTAATGATCAAGGTGTGGGCAGGTCCCCACTTCTGGAGGCTCTAGGGGAGAATCATTCTTCCCACCTTTTCCCTTCTGGAGGCTGCCCACTTTATTGGCACATGGCTCTGTGTCACTGTGACCTCTGCTCCTATTCCCATTTTCTTCTCTGACTATTCTACTTCTTTTCTTCTAAAGTCTTTTTTTTTTTTTTTTTTTGGTCTAAAGTCTTCTAATAAATTGTGATTAAGTTGCCCTCCCTGGACAATGTGGGGTCACTGCCCATTTCAATATACTTAACCACAAAGCCCCTTTTGTTATGTAAGGTAACACATAACTGGTCGAGACATGGACAAGTTGCACTGAGTAGGTGAAGCTGTGTATTCACTAAAAGAGTTGCAATTCAAAGGAAAAGACTGTCCATTAATCAGCCACTCTCTGACAGAGAAGGGAGGATGTCCAAGTGCAATGAACTCTTTGATGGAACTGTCATTTCCTTGAATTTAATTTCATGGGTTGTAGATAACATATACCACAAAACCTCCCCTGGCATTCCTGTGAACTAGAAACCAAGATTTCCTAATTTCCTGTTGTACTTGCTGATGTTGCCATTCTCCTTTCCATACTTTCAGATCTATAGCAAAATATGTAATGGAGTTTAGGGTTATTCCTACTCAGGACTCAAATCTTAAATCACAATCTATTATACTGGCTGGCTATTATTTTTTTTCTAAATTGGGGAGGAGAGAGAAAGTACTCTTGTAATATTTATTCATAATTTTAGGTAAGTGGATATCATGAGAATTTTAGGATTGGCTTGATCTCAAGTATGGAGTTAATGAAAAACCTACAAAAATTGCAGTGGAGAATGGCTCTGAATGAAGCTGCTAATGAAAGACCCTGACTTAGGTCAGTGATTTTAGACTGGCTTGGGATGATTTCATGGCTAGAGCTAGAGTCTGTGAATGTTAAAATATATGTTTTATGTTTTACTCTTCTAATGATAAGGGGATATTAATATGTTAACTTTATCCAAAGAAATATGGGCATTAGTGGTCAATATCCTCCAAATTTCAGACACTTTATGGTGACTGATATTATACAATCATGCCTTTTATTTGGCCTTTTAGAGTAAGACACGTGCCAAGATGGAAAATAGATAAGGCAAATACTTGTTTAGGGGAAAAACTCAACCCCACTTAATTAAACATCAACACTGTAAAATCCTGGTAACTTCATAATCTTACTGAAAGTTGTAAGTGGTAGGTAGAAACAGCACAGACAAGGAAAGTCACCTTACAGGAATGACAGAGGGCTTGGCAATGCTGCTGACCTCCTATGTCCATGATGCCTCCTGTAAGCTACTAAGGCCAAGAAGAAACATGCACAACTAAGATGGTTATCTGGGTGCATGTGTATGTGAGAGAGGAAGTTGGAGATTCTCCTTTATTTCTAGCTCAGATGAATCTTTCCTAGGCCTTTTCTCTTTCTCTCCTTCTTCTTCTTCCTCTTCCTCCTTCTTCCCCTCTCTCTCTTCTGCTTTTCTCCTTCCTCCTCCCCCTTTTCCTTCCCCTCTCCTGCTAACTGATGCAGGGTTCCAGGATATCAGTGTGACCACAGGTATACATTGATTTGGGGAAGTGATTCTGTCCTGAGGGTGGAGCTCCCTCTTGGCTTCTCCTTCAGTGAGGTTAGAGGGAAAAAGAAGGGACACAACCAACTTAGCTTCTCTTTGTGTAACTGTTTCCAACTTTCTGTTCCCATGTTTCTGCAGTGGGAAATGGAGTGGGTGTTCATCATTTGTTGGAAGGCAGCCAAAACAGCTTATGAATTCTCCATTGTGACGCCCTGTGCTGAGCATGCTCATTCCTTTTTTTCTCTAGAGCCAGTTGTTGGCTTAGGAAATGTGAAATATTTGTTTGCCTTAGATCTTAGTCCTATATTTCAGTTCACTATCCATGAAAGCTCTGAATCACAAATGAGCTGATATAGAGATGGGCAGAAATAAATCATCCAAAAAAACTTACAAATCTACTCTTTATAAGGTAGCAGTTTATTTGAACAAGGATATTGAATGTTATGCACACAGGCAACTACTACACAAAGCGGAGACATCGTGAACCTCTGTGGTACTTCTGTCTTGCCCCTCAAAGGTAGGGGCCTACCAAATCTGAAGAAGCAGCCAATGTCTCCCTTAAAAATGTAGATTTGGGTTACTATTTTTTTAATATTTATTTTTTAGTTGTAGTTGGACACAATACCTTTATTCTATTTATTTATTTTTATGTGGTGCTGAGGTTCGAACCCAGGGCCTCACACTTGCTAGGTGAGCACTTTACTGCTGAGCCACAACCACAGCCCTAGGTTACTATTTTAAAGATTTACACTAAAACTCTATAAAGTTCATCACCTTTTTCTGTTTCTTGAATCAAAAATAAGCTTTTAAAGTACTCATACCCCAGAATAAGAACTTTGCCTTACATTCCACCACCCAAATTCAATATTATTTTACCTTTTCCTTGTGAGAGGCTTCTTACTGAGTGTTTGAAATAATAAGGAGAGTTTTCATTGCGTCAGAGAACTGGCCACTTTCAACAATCTCTTCTCTCTAAGCAAATTTCACTTTAAAGCTTTTTATTTAGGAGGTTCTCAGACCAAGTTTGGTTAAAGAAACACAATTAAAATTTGTTCCCTGTCATTTCTTGCCCTAAATGGACCATGGAATTAGAAACAACTATCCACTTCTTCACCCTGGGAGGCAGAGATATTTATTAGCTTGCTTTACATCTATCTGCTTTGAAAAACTTCTATGGACTTTCAGACCTTTATATACCTTGAGAATTTAAATTTGCATAATCATAATTATTGTTATTGTTTGTTTATGTTTTTTGTATGTATATATATATGCTAGTAACATGCTCAAACAATTAAGAATCTGATATTTATATTCTAAAAAATAGTTTAGCTAAATATCTCTGAAAAATATCCTCTATTTTTTGAAGAAAAAAATGGGTATTAGTTATTGTAATTTTCTCTTGTTCCAAACACAGGAGTGGTCACTTTGCAATGAGTTCTGATTGTGTTCAGTGGGGAAACATGCTAGAGACAGAAAATTTGGAGTTACAAGTCTGTTCAGACTCCTGTACAGATGTATGTTATAATTTTTTATGAGTATTCAGGGGAAAATACAGTGAAGTAGAGTGTAATATCTATTTCTAAGACAAATCATTTTTTTTTCTCCAAAAAGGCCAGAAGATTAAGTTTATGTCTCCAACTTAATTCTATCTCTTTTGACCTTGTTCTAATATGAGAACTTGTTCTTGAATTTTGTCTTTTTTTTCTGCTATATTTGATTTATCAAGTTGTATATGATCATATCGAGCCATATATTTATATTTATACCCCTCAGGATGAGGAATGGTTATTTATTTGTGTACTTATTCATTTACTTGTCTACTTGTTGTTTTATGACTCAAGCATCTCAGAAATGGACCCCAATTACAAATGTGTAGGATGTTTCCCCTTTGTCATTACTTAAATTTCAACTGCTTAAAAATAAAAGGAAAATTTAATCTCCCTTCAAGATTTACAAAAAAATCATTCACAAACAGAAACCACTTGAAATATCCCATCAAATATCACACGGTTAGGCCAAAGCAACAAACTTAAAAAAACAATCAAATAAAAGCCTTTGAGATTTTGTAGAAAACATTCCTTTAAATATTTTCATAGGCATGGGCAGCACTATCTTTTTAGCTAGTTAACCTGAACATTTCATTCTACTCTAACTAATTGAGTAGATGCCGATATTTATTACTTTAGCAGTGTAATAATTCCTCATTTAAAAAATCTAATTACAAATGGTGTAATATACAATCAAACTAATAGTAAGAATTATCCAAGTCTTTTCAAAATTTACTAAAAGTTTCAAGTAAATCCACATTATCCAACTCATCAGTGTCCAAATTACATGAAAGAGGAACACAAACTGTGTCAGAACTCAATGGAAGTAAGGAGACTCCCCAGAGGAAGGTCAGAGGCAGTTAGTTCATTGATGTGAAGCTTGGTCCTGGACTCCTATCTTGTGGAGTGCCCCAGGATAGTCTCCTCCAGGTGTCCTGTCAAGAGATCAGAAGGAAACTGAAATCTTGTTACACCACTGCCTTTTTCTACTCAAGTTTACATCACAAGTAGGAAGACTTTAAAATGATAAATAGATGCTTCTGTTTCAGGGAATAATGCCTGCCTGTGGAGGGAGACAAGCTTTACTTGGAGACAGAGCTATTGTTCAGGGCCACCTGCTTTGGGCTCTGCTTTGTCCTCCAGATGCAAGTTAAATTCAAGAACCAGCAAGTGCCTTTCTTGCCTTCGCTGCATGTTCATCTCCTTTGGCAACTTCACAGGAAGAAGGCGTGTCAATGTCTTTGGCAGCATTTTGGCTTTTTTTTTTTTTTTTTCTTGTCTATCGATGTTATCATCTTAGAGCGGCAAGGTGCATTACAATGCCTGCTGAATATTAGATATTCAAAAAGCTCATTTCATAAATAAGCTAAGCATTCTTTATTATTATTAATCTTCTTTTCAGATAAGTAAGTGCAGAGAATACCAGGGTGATCCTGATACAGCACATTGTTTTAGACACTTCCTGTGTCAGAAAACTTCGAACTTGAGAAGCAGAATAATCCATTGCTAAACTAGACTAACTGTGAGAAAGACTCTTTATAAATATACAAACCTGTCCTCCATGTTTTACAACTTCTGCTATACAAATTCACAGCATAATGTATTTTATATTCAAGAGCTCTTCAAATGTTTCAGAAATCTAAATCATACTTGGGTATTCTCTGGGCTAAGCAACTTCCTCTCCCTTAATCTCCCTCAACCTTCCTAGTATGCTCAGGGTCACAAGGTATGGAAGACAGGGTCACCAAGGCAGACACAATGGTCATCTGACTCCTAACCTAGTGCTCTGTCCATGGTCATGTGGCTTCTCTGAAATAACCTGACAACATTCTGATTCTCATTTACCTCATGGATTTATTTATCTAATAAAGTGGGTAAGGTTTAAGGATTCTATTTTTAGAGTGTCTATAATTTGCAAAGGGAATAATCACATTTGGAACTAGTTCATTATGATTCCTTCCCTGCTTAGGATCTTGCAGATAAGGGAAATACTGGAGAAATTGGCCCTCATGTGGTGGAATATCAATTCTTGATGACAGTGTTCAGTGTGCATCTCAAACTCAACTTTGAGAAACAGATTAAACTCCATGGTCAATAATTCAATAAATTGAAGTTAAATTATGAATGACCAGAAGTGGCCTTTCATTTATTTGTTTAGTTTTTAAGAACCTAAGGTACAATTCAGAAAACAGCAGCCTCTACAGAAGTGTGCTTCACATTGTCTGTCCCATGAGCTGGGTCTAGTTGACTATTTCAGCCCAATAAGTGCCAAAGATAAGGAGCTAGAGCAGAGTTGTTGCTCTCTTTGGAGAGAGGACCAAGGCAAAGGCAACCTGACTTGGTTAGGGTACACATTCAGCTGTTAGGCCGAGGCCACATTTCAGCAGCTAGAACAAGATATCATTTCACTTTTCTCTGAATTATCAATCTGAGCCTGAGTGTTCCAGGGCTAATTCATCAGGGTGTCAAGGATCAAACTTATGCTATTTTGTCACCATTCAAAACAACTGCTTCAGTTTAACTCAACTTCCAGCCAGAAGGAATAAAAATTTCTGCACACTGTAGTAGGTCTCATAAGATTCCCACAATTAATGTTTCCTTCAGTTATAAATATTAGTGAGTTTTAAGAAGGTTAAATTTTAGTTATTTTAATAAAATGTTGATCATCACTAAGCATGCATGAGTCACAGAATGAACACGATGTCTTTTGGCATTGCTTCCCTAGCTAAAACCTACCTTTCATTTTCCTTAAAGCAGAAGTTTTGAGATTTGATCTGCACATTAGTGCTTCTTTATCATACAGAAAGGCTTCTTACCAGGAGGTAAAATTATTACATGCTAGAAAGGTAATATCACTTGCCTACCAGGGTGTAAGGACTTATGCAAGCCTTGGTGGTATTGTCATAAAATCAAAATCAGATTCCCTGCATCCCATTAGCAGGATTCTGGTGGGTCTTGGTAAGGAATTTCCACCAATTAAGCAATTATTATTGTCTGGAAAAAGTTTTTTTTTTTTTTTTTTCTGGAGGGAAAGTATACATTATGAGGCTTCCTCCAGCTCTTTTACCTTAAAGTTAGCTTATCGTGTGATCTACTTGCCGTATCTGAAGATGTATAGTATAGGACCAGGGACAGCAGGCATATTTTTATATAGTGAGATGGATTGGATAAGATGATAAAGAAATAACTTTCAGAAAAGAATTAGAGGTCAAAGGAGAGAATTTGGAAAGTTGAATTTTCTCCAAGTGAAGATGGGCTGGATAACTCTGCAGCAAACAATGACTTTTCAAGTCTCATGATGGTTTACATTTCACTCATGGTCTGCATCCATTGTTGTTTGACATGGCTATAGCTCCTCATCTTAACCTTACTCTGAAACCTAGACTGAAGGAGTATCTTTTTTTTACACAGTATTCTTAGTCATCATAAAAAGGAAAGATATTTGACCAGCTGTGTTCTGACCCTAAAAGCTTCTTCAGAGACACCTATCATTCATAATCACTTTTTATTGGTAGAAGCATGAATCCTACTGAGTTCAACAGGACCTGGATATACAACATACTATAAAGTGTCATGGCCAAACAGCAAGCCATTTACCACAAAGGCGTGAGGGAGGGTAGAGCACTTCAAAGTTATTCTCTATGGGGATTGCAGGCTAATAATGTTTAAGCTCCTATTACACACCATACACTACACTAAGATTTTACAAGCATTATTTTATATAATCTTCACAACATTGCTATAATGTAAATACTTCTATTATCCCCACACAATGGATAAAAAGACCATAATCTAAGAGTGTAAGTAACATATATAAAAAGTGACTGAACAAATTCAGGCCAGAGAGAAAATAGAATCTTAAGGCTATCTGCTTTGTAATAATACTCTGTGTTCTTGGAAGTATATAGAGAGGGCAGTGCTCATTCTTTAAACCTTTAAGGGGAATAAGAAACAGATTAAGTGGAAAGAAGAGCTATATTTCAGTGAGATGAGCACAGAGGAAGCTAATTATATCAGATCAGACAAGAATATGCCTTTTACTCTCTATGAACACTTTGCACACAGCAGGACTCAGATTGAAGGCAATGGCCTTCAAGTAAGGGATTCAAAGGTGTGTGCTTGGAACACCAATGGAATTTACATAGCCACTCTTTGGAGGAAGTAATTACTTTGAGAAAAAGTTAACTGAAACTCCAGACCCCTAAGTATGAACCCTAAGAGGACTCTGAAACAGGTAAGTACCTAAAGAAATGATCATGACCCACAGTAGCTAAGCAAACATGAGAGGTAATGAAATACAGAGCCCTCCAAGTTTTTCCTAAGTCAGACTGATTGGCAGAAGCACACTGTAGCCCCTAATAGGTCCCCACCTGCCTCACTGTTTGTTGGTGGTATCTCTTTATTCATGTCACATAACTAAAGTATGATTCACTTCTTTTTCACATCTACATTCCATATTAAACCTGGAAAATGTTACCCACTTGATGTAACATGCTTGTAATTACACAAGAATCCCAAGGTTCTAAATACCCTCTATCATTGGATGTTTATTTTTCCTGCTATAATTTTGCCATTACCACCACAGTCTTTCTTTGAACTTCCAGTGGTAATGTGTTAGCATTAAAATTTTATAAATTTTATATATATGTATCTGAAGAATTAAAAGGCAAAGCCTATTCAGCCTCTCTGTCCTCAACTCTGCCCTTAAAGTGACCAATGAAAACAGTTGTCATGTTTCTTTTTTTCCTGGGCTATTCAGGACTCCAAGATGAAGCTTTTGGAATATTTCTAAAATTCAAATAATGAAGATATACCACACTGAAAATAGATCTTGAGCTTCAAGAAGAAGAAAGGGGCCTAGAAGGCATGTGACTGTAGGGAGGAGCACAGCACAGTGTTAGGTATAGAAACTGGAGTCTGCAGTAAGGGGTAGTGGGTGAACTAGGCAACTGAGTGGCCTCTAAGCTCATCAAGATAATATAGGAGCTGGATGTTGGGTTCTAAGGAACTGTGACTACTGCCTCCCACTTTTAGAAGAGTATAGTAATATAAAAAATTCCAGGTTATTAGCAAGACATTGACATTTCCTGAAATACCTTAGTTGATAAAAATTTGGCTGACCTAGTACCCTTTTCAAATTAGTGTCAATTAGAGGTAAAGGTCAATTAGGTCCATTGCAGTAATTTTATCTCCACCTTTTTATATCTCCTACTGATTTAGTGCTGTGACCTCTAACAGGTATGGATTATATTCTTACCTATTAACTCAATAAAAGAAACTATTGCTGAAAGTAATAAATTGCCGTAAGTCATGTATATGATGACAGACATTGTCTAGTCCCATCTAATCATACTTCAGAGGAAACAAGAATAATCCACTTGGACTTTCTCATTTTTTTTCTTGCAGATTCATTCCTTGAATTTTAATAATGTCAGAACTGTGCACAAATGCGTTTAACTCCTTGGTCCTCCTCCTCATCTGATTCATATTTAAGGATGCCACACCAACTGTCTACCTCATAGAGCCCTTGGGTTCATAAGACATATTTCTGATCTCCTACAGAAGAGGAATAAATCCCCAAGGACTTCCATATGAGGTTTGCCATCCATGGTGTTCTTTCCAATGAACCATTCAAGAACGCAAAGAACCACAGAGAAAGTGAAATATATTAATAAAGACCCAGATCCTTCCAGACAATGTCATGCTCTTCAAAAGCACAGTAGGAAACTTGGTTCATCACCCAGGCTTCCTTCACTAGCCAGGGTATACAGAACCTCAAGAGAAAAAGCAAAGTTGGTCTGATAAGCTTCTTCTGGTGAAGGTATTCCTACCTCCATATCTTAGTTACTCTCAACTTCCCTCCCTCTTCCTAGCTCTCAGCAGTTTACCAGAAGTAGTGATTTTGAAACCAGACATTAACTTTCTCAAAGATATTCTTGAATACCAGCCCTTTTAGAAAGAAAAGACTCACATTCATGACTCTGCTCATAGCTCTTTAAAAAGTAAAAGAGAAATTAAGGAAAAGAGTATTTTCCCTTTCTTTTTGATCAGGATGTTTATATATTCTTACCCTTTTACTCTAGTTCTCCTGTGGAATAGAAAATTAAGCAAATTCATACTTACTTCCTAATTACATTCAGCATGCTCCTTCTCTTTCCCCAGGCTCAATCTTATGTAGGATAACATTGTCCTTTGGAAAGGACAAACCGGTTCTGCAAACTTGCATACCAGAAATTGTCTTAGATGTAGTT